TTGCAAAAAGTTGGGTAATTTCTTAACCACGACTCTGCTTAAATGGCTTGACGTAAAAAGCTTATTTTTTCGAAAGTCAAATTCCAACGAGATGAAACCACCCCTCAAATATTACCAAGTTATATAATAATATCGCCATATTGTTTTTTTTTCATGCTGATATAAATGTGAGAAAATTTTATCCAGTTTGTATGTCAATGGAAATTCTTGCTTTGCTTTATCATCACCATTACAAATGATAAATTCAACGCGAACGAAGTCGCTGGTACACGCTAGTTTTACGTATAAAATGACAGCGATCTTCATTTCATAGCCATTGCTGACGCCGTTTTTATGCGATCATACTGTATATGTATAACATCCTCAATATTTTATTTCTTTTATACAAAAATATATTTTGTATGTTAACTAAAGACATGATACATATTTCTTAGATCTCGATAACTCTGTCCTGGAAAAAACTGTTTAAGCATTTTCCAGTTTGGCAGAAAATTAACTAAAGATAAATTTGTATAATTTAAGCCCAGTAATAATTTTGATAATTTTTTGTGCAAACTTGTCTAGTTTAGTATAATGTAAATTTAAAAAATATTTTTAGATACGCTAAAACGTTTAATGCATGTCCCCATGTAAAATATATTGGAGCATTACTTTTGTATTTTGGCATATCATATTTACCAGTAGCAATAATATGTTCTGTAAGGTTTAGTTTGGTAAGATTATTTTTTTTATAATTTATATATTTACTATACAGGGTGGCGCCTCTCATACGCCGCGGAAGCTCCAAGGAGAGCGATAGTTTATATCAAAATGAAATTTTGGTAGCATATGTAGGTTAACTGAAAGAATTTTATAAAAATATATAGAATTATGCAGGGTGTCCCCAAAAAAAGTTACACGTCAAAGTTGTTTTTTTTTCTAATGGAACACCCTATGTATTAATAGATTTTCGGATTCTAGGAAAAAAATAAATGTTTTATTAAAGAAGCATATACGTAAATTCTAAGAATTTTGACATATTTCATGTTTTGTGAAAATGAAGAGCGAATTTTAAATTTCGATAACAGCTGCCTAAATTTTAGTTGATCTTGTATAGCCTGATATTTAATTATTACAGTAACCTTTATATGTTAAACCAAATTGAAATTTGACTAGCAAACTTATACAGGGTGAGACAAAATTAATATGGAACATTACTCGCTTTTTAAAGCACGTTACTGCTTTATTTTAAATGGAACATCCAGTACATTTTTTGGGTGTTCAAAATATTATTAAGGTTGACTACCTCTCAGAAAAAAAATTTTCCTAGATATTTTAATTTTTATGATTTTGTGTCAGTAGATTTTATTATTTGAAAAAATCTAGGGTGGCTGTGTGATATACCTTTTGTTAATTTAACAAAAATTAAAAATTGTAGATTAAAATACTCAACGGTAATAAAATGATACACATTTAAAACATATTTTAATTATTACAGAATTAAAAGTAGATATAAACCTATAATTATGTGACAAAAATTAGCTAGATGAAATCAGATGCTCAAAATGCTTCCTTTCCTGTTAACTGCATAAAATTATCATTTTATTTTAAAAGGCATATGTGGAGTTCTACCTTGAAAAGCAGCTACAATAATTTCTCTCATATTCTCTCGTTGGTCGAGTTTTGTAAACACTGTCTTTAACATATCCCCATAAAAAAACAGGCTAAATAAAATCAGGAAAATTTAAGTATTATATTAATTGGTGAACCACTGTTATCACCAACTAATAGGATCATACCAATTCTCTCTGATGCAGGATATGTTTGCATTTTCGGCAAATTCCTGAGAATTTGTTTTATTGTTTTAACTGACACAAAATGAAAACTAGTTGTTACAGTTGGACTAATTAGACAGCTATGTTGAAGTAATATCAGACATATCAAGACCACCCAAAATTTTATCAAATAATTTTTGTTTGAGGGGTAGGCAACCATAATACTATTTTGAAGAAACATGAATTATCCATTAAATATCGGAATAATATACTAGGTGTTCCATTTAAAATAAAAGAGTAACATGCTTTTAAAGGTGACCAATGTTCAATATCAATTTTGTCTCACCCTCTATAACTTTTTGGATCCAGTTTTAATTTGATATAAAATACAATAATTAATTTAACTACATATTAGGTTATATCGGGTAAATTCTAATTTAGGTAGCTTTTATTATAATTTAAAAATTGTTCTTTATTTCTAGAAAATGTTAAATATGTCAAAAACCTTGCATCTCAGTCACATACTTCTCTTATAAAACTCACCTTTATTTTTCTCTCAGAATCCAAAAATTAATTAATATATAGGATGTTCCATTATAAAAACAAAACTTTGATATATAACTTTTTTTGAGGACACCCTGTAGAACTCTCTATATTTTTAAATAGTGCTCTGAATTAACCTACTTATGCTCACAAAATGTCATTTCAATAGAAACTGTCGTTCTCCTTGGAGCTTCCGCGGCGTATGAGAGGCACCACCCTGTTTATAGTTTTTACTAAAGTTGTGATTTTTATGAAGATAAGCAATACAAAATTAATTACCTTAACTTGACTGTGCTCGAGATACAATAATTTTAAAAATTATTATTGTAGAAATTATGTTATTTATTGCTGCATTTTCTCTGTCCACTTTTAGGTACAAGTTCGTTTATTGGTAGTTTCTCTTATTTTCTGTACCATTCCCAACTTAATATTTCTATGTGGTACTGGACAGGTAATGGAAGATCAAGTAAATTTCCGAATATACAGGGTGTCCCAGAAATAACTGCAAGTATTTTAACTGGTAGAATATTTCGGCCTCAGAAACACGCCTATGAGGTCTTTTTGCGAAAAAAGTTTTGGAATTTTCTTTAGTTTTAAGTTAAAAAACATAATTTCTTGATAATATGGCAACATAGGTAGTAGACTAAATTTACATAAAAGAAAATCCAGAAAAGATCGAGTGGTTCTCAAAATTTAAGCAAAAAAGCATTTTTTGTTTAAATTTTCAAAGTAAAATAACTCGGTTGTTTTGGACTTATTTGAAAAATGGTAAAGAAAAAAAAAATGTTTCTTTTGACCTGATCTACCATCCCTTAAAATACTTGGACTTATTTTTGGGACACCCTGTAGAACTAAAATTAAAGAATAAAGTATTTTTTACAGTCCTTGATTTTCAGTATTCAGAAGTTCATAATGCATTGATCAATATGTCTTGGTATGCTTGGAATAACAAAAATCTGAAAATTTATCTTATGTTCCTAACGCGAACGTACAGACCGATACAGATACACTTTGGCTTAAATTCTATACTGAACCATGAAGAGGCATTAAGAGTAAATATTTAAGCTCGAGTTTTTCTAATTGTTTATTTTAAATTTTTTAGTACATCAAGTTTTACTACGTTCTTTTCATGTTTATATATCGAACAACCCTGATAGAAAAATTTAAACTACCAGGAACGTAGTATTTAACAAGCGATTGGCTCAATAATAAAATGTAAATAATTTGTGGGGAAGAAGAAGATTGATTCCAATGTCATCTGACACATGACGTAACTTTTTTTGTGTAGATTAAAATTCACTAAAATATGAAATAAATATCATTAAATTAATAAGTATTGTTTTATTTAACCGATCCTACCGACTGCGCTTTATACAGTGTTTCAGAAAACATGTGCCATCTTTCGTGGGGAGATTCTTCACGTAAAAGTAAGACTTATTTTTCATATCAACATAGGTTCGATTCTGCTTTGTTTCGTAGCTACAGGGTGTTAAAGTCTTAATAATCTTTCGATTTATCATTACTTTCTTCCAAGTATTTTTAGTGATTTGAACGAAATTTCGAGGGTAAAAGTTACTATAAGTCCTACATATTTTAATGCTAAAGAAAGTGTCAATAAATTTATCAGGGACGTGCATATGGGTTATCACATAAAAAAAACCGTGCGCCACTGACTTTTTTTTTTGATATCAAAATTGCATAGGCCGTTTAATGCCAATTAAAAGTTAGCTCTTGATATTTTGTCGAATTCGGCCTCCTTGATAAAATAAACGCAATTTTATTAATCATAATTAATAAAAAAATAAAATTAATAAATTATATATTTTACCTGATTTATTATTAAACATTATTACTATTAAAAATTATTATTATTTTAAAAAAGTAAAGTGTTCTCGAATAGTTGAATTTGAATATTTTAAATAGTTTGTTTCTTTATTCTTTGTATTTTTTTACCTCCGACGACGGAAAGACATAAACTTTCCGAAACGTTAAGCATTTTTTTCTTTGTTAGGCAAATTTGTATTACTGTAAACATAACTTCTGACAAGCAGTGTCCGTTTAGGTTTAACGCAGAAGTGTTTACTAAAAATAACTATTTTATTTTGTAGATTTTTCTTTGGAGAGATGAATCCGCCACATAGGTATAGACATTTTTTATTATTACTATTAGTCCAACATACAGAAATTTTTAATAAAATAATAATGGTATTTAAGATAATTACAATTTTTTTCACCTTTTTGAGCCATCCTTGTTCCATTGGAAAAAATTGAAATCTGATTAAAAATACGATTTGGGTATCTTTTACCCGACCAGGACACGAAAAACATTAGAAGATCAAATCTATTTTTTTAAGGCTCCTTGATTAAAAATTAGGGTTTTTAACACAGCCATAGTACTCTAAATTTAAAATAAGATTTTTTTAAAGCGAAAATGTCAATAGTTGACATATTATATGTCATTCTATTCAAAGTGCCATTTTCTATCGAATAAAGTAAAAACAAACCGAGGGCGCTATTTAAAAATCAAAAGTTGTAGTCATTTCCGGTGAAATAGGAAGTAACCAAAAACAATTGAATACGTCAATCAATCCTAATTTATGTCATATACTAACATACCATATACTAACATAATAATCATAAATAGCAATAAATCCAGTAAAGCAAGTCAACTATCTTGGATTCCACATAGACCGTGCACTCACGATGGGCATGCACATCAAGGAGGTGTGTCTGAAATCACAACGATCTGCTAAAGCGTTGTCCGCAATACTGCCAAACGTTCGGGGCCCAATACCAGCAAAGAGAAGAGTGTTAGCATATGCGTGCCAGAATATTAATATGTATGGAGCACCTGTGTGGAACGAAGCAACCAATATGCACGTAAATAAAAAAAGACTTGAAGGTGCACAGAGAGTCATGGCTTTGAGGGTCTACTCGGCGTATCGGACAACTTCAACTGAGGCAGCCTTGGTGATATCGGGTCTGGTGCCCTTGCATCTTCTCTCAAGAGAAAGAGAACGACTCTTTCTAAACGGTGAAGTACAAACCAGGGCAAGCAGAGAGATGGAGAGAAACCGCACAGTGCAGCAGTGGCAGGCAGAATGGGAAGCATCACAAAAAGGAAGATGGACATAAAAAAGAAAGATGGACATCAAATATTGAGTGGCCACGGAAATTTTGGGAGTTACCTGTGTAAAATTGGAAAGAGGGAAGTCACGGAATGCCGATACTGTGCTGAACCCAATGATACTCCAGAACACACAATGTTTGCTTGTCCAAGATGGGAACAGGAAAGATGTGAGGTACGCATGACGATTGGTGGCAACATCTTCGCAGATACCTTCTTAAAATCGGTAACAGAAAGAAGAGAAAACTTTGAAGCCATCTCAAAACTGGCCCAAAATATACTAGAGGCAAAATACAGCGAAGAGCAGGGGTAATAAAAAAAAGGAACAGTCCGGCCTCTACTTGAGGAGATGCGTCCAGCGGGTCCAGGTAGACGTGGCAGGAGCGAGGGGGTGACGTTTAGTGGGTAGTGTCCTCCAGACAGCTTAAGGAGAGATTGAGTCCCACACTCCGTACGTAAAGGTATTTTACACCTCCAAAAATAAAATATACTAACATACCAAATCTAGTCCAAATTTTTTTATCTAAAAATATAAAAAAGTTATAGGATTGAGCCATTATTGAAACGCACCCGGTATATCTCTATATATAATATATAATATGTATATACCCAAAACATGTGTCAAAAAATAAATCTACATTAGGGTATATACAGTTCGTCTGCTGGATCTGTGTCTATGAAAGGAATGCGGACAAAAACATTTAAATAAACAGCAATATATTTTATACGTCGACTTGACGAGTACGTCACCGCAAATCGCTCCGCCCACTCATTTTATTGGCTACTTGCAAATTTGTCGAATTTTTATTGATGGGATGCGTCGTCTAATTTTTTACGAAAAACATCGAAAAAATATCGTTTCCCCTCTCACGGATACCTCGTAGCCTCAGAACGGACAGACGTACTGTACATTGTTTTATGAAATGACCAAAATTCTTACAGCTTTAGTGTATATTAATAAATAATATTTTCTTGCTTTCAGCTGTGTATTTTTTTTTAATTTCAAAAAATCGAAAGTAGAGAAAACGTAAAGGCCCAGAAACCGATTGTGGGAGTGGAGCATATGGTTCTCCCTTTACGACAAACAAAACAATTTTCTTTTTGCTTTTTATTTTTTTATGTTTTCTCTACTTTCGATTTTTCGAAATTAGAAAAAATACACAGCCAAAGGCAAGAAAATATTATTTATTAATACATTGTTTTATATACTATTTAATTAGGCCTACCTTCGGTATAATTAACTCAAGCATATAAATAATAAAATATAGACTATAATTAATTCTGTATTCTATTTTATCTCAAAGGATTTGTCTACTTAATTCCAATAATTAATTAACACAATTATAGTCTATGCTTTTAGAAAACAAATATTTAATACCTATTTAAACTTGGCCGGCATATAGATACGTTAAATATTAGCAATTTTGTCATAATATCATGCCTTCTTTCAATTACGTTAAGGCATTTAAAATTAAAATTAACGATATTTACAGAAACAATCGATTACCAAGTGAGAAAAGAGTTTTAGTTAATTTAGAAAGGTACACGTCAATTTTGAAAATCTTAGCGTTCTTAGGATCGGTTTTGGTCGTCTTGGAGGTTCTTATAATTTGGAGTATTGGCTGGAATAAAAACTTTGACTTTTTGTTTGCAACGTATTTATCTTTCACGGTAAGTTTTGCTAAAGTATGTCTGTAAAGCCGGGTCTCCACCATAGCAACGTTTGTCGACAATGTTGCTGAAAATTCAGTAAAGTCGTCGACATTTTATGTCGCAGATTTAAATCGCGGACTTTGTTTCATGTTTCGCTTGAGGAGCGGTTCATCAAAGAAAAATCGTGTCGACGACAATGTTTACGAACATGTCGAAAGACATCTCCACCGAATCAACACCTATCACTCAAAAGATAACCAAGGCTAGTATGTGAATCCCCAGAAGCCAAAAATCCAAGCGTAATAGCAAGACGCTCCTGAACAGGAATTGCATCTCAATAATTTGTGTCCATTTTACAAATCCTGGGACCAATCATTTGAAGCAATGATTCAGTCAGCTGAACTCATTCTTATAAAATTCTTGAAACGACTTCTTATTTCATTGTGGAACGGATTTAAGTGATCTGTACAAAGATCAGTAAGCAAGTCACTCTACCACTGTACAAATTTCTCTTCCGGAGGCTAGGACGTATCCAAAAACGAAGTTGCCGTCTAGCTTGACGCTCATTTTGCTAAATAATAAGAAATGCGGCTGAGATTATAATTACATCCTCGTCGTTCCACATGTTCCACATTAAACACTAAATAAGCTTTCGCTCCTTAGTCGAGAAGTCGAGCAACAATATTTCTTTGGTAGGTACGATCTACATTTCTCGATAATATTTATAAAAATAGTAACAAAAGTTGATTCCAATGTCGTCGACATATGTTGCTTTGGTAACCGACCGGCTTAAAATAAGTGCAAGTATTTTATTTGGTCGAAATAATTCGACCCGAAAAACACGCCCATGAGATTTTTATATTTTCAATTTTCATTTTTTTTTCTTTCGAAATTTTTTGGATTGTCAATCTTCAACCGTCTTTGACACCGTTTTTTTTTCGATCATATAATAATAATAGCTCCCGTATATAGCGTTTAACGCCTTGGTTTGGTTTGGAGCACAAGTTGATTCTCGTCATAGTGATCTTCATTCTCAATTATTTGTAATGTACTGCTGGGATTTGTGGCATTTTCCAAAAGATCCAGATACATATTTCCATTTAGATTTCCATCCAGAAAGAACAGACCAACTAAACAGTCGCCAAAGATTCCAGCCCACACATAATTTTTTCAAGGTACTGAGTATGAACCTCACGGAATTCTCTAGGATTGGTATCAGACCAGTAGCGACAATTGTGGCGATTTACTGTTCCATTGAGGAAAAATGTACATTCATCCAGGCATGGATTTGGCATTGCATGAATTTGTCCCAGAACTACTATTTGCATCGCCTCATTGTTAACTACACCAGGTGGAACTATTCGCTTCTTTGTAAGAACGCTTCCAGTTTCTCTAAATTTAGCTACTAATTCCAGCACGTATTTTCTATTCACAATATTATCTGGATGTCGGTCATTAAATTACTGTGCCGTTCTATTGCCACATCAATTATCTCAACTTTATCTGCAGTAGAATAAACCACCACGTAAATTCACAATAATACTAAATACTCTTACGATAACACTAAGAACAGTAAGCCGTACAAAATATTAAGAATACTTCCAAACTGAATGATAAGATGAAAAAAATTTAGCAGTACTGCCTCAAAAGAAGAGAAGATATTAATAAAAACAATTTTTTACCTACCAAAAACTTGTTTACATTTTTGTTCCTTATCGGCCAGTACACGTCTCCTTGTCAACATGTGCTTTTCGGATGAATGTACCGGGTGTCCCACTAAGAATAGCACTTGGCTGTACCTCGGAAAGTATTAGCCGTAGAGCTTACGGAAAAAAACAATTATAACTAAAGGGGCTATGAGAAATTGCTGGAAATTATTTTCAAGTTTGTAAAACGGCCGCTAGGTGGCCCAACTGCTATGGAAAATAAGAAAATAGATTTTTTACAGAATTTTGCCTAGATAATGGGTACTATAAATAATAGCTTCATAATATTCAGTAAATTTTGGATTTTTTTTGTTAGAGCCATTTTCCCCTATCTACCAAAATAAAGTGGTGGGGGAACGTTAGATTTATCTTTATTTAAATATTAATAACTCCGGACTGGATGATCAGAATCCAACAAGCGAGTGCTCGTTTAAAAGAGCATTTCTTACTCTATATTATACCATAAAAATAATAATAATAAGCTTTTGAACGTAGACGCTAGGGGGTGCTTTCTTACAATTTAACAAACATTGCCCGTTTTTTTCAAAAAAATTAAATACGATAGTATGTGCTATTTTAGCTGATAGTAAAGAGTAGGAAAAGCTTAAAAAGTCAGCGAAAACCGCATCATGATATCTTCTTTCAAACCGAAGATATTAGCAAAATTATAATAAATACCAAAAAATAAGCCCTTAATTACCTTATTTTTACAACACAGTATCAGTAGCCCTCTTGTTTATGTCCATTCTAACCTAAAAATAAGATAGAAACAATTAGTTTATTTTAAAATCGACGATATACCAGAATATCATAATATTAGATGTATTAATATCTAATAATTAATATATTAATAATAGTGAACAAGAAACGATGATTCAGTGAAGTCATGGTAGGCTTTGGAGAAAAGTTGCTTTTCGCGTAATAGTATAAACTTAAAAATAATTTCCAGCAATTTCCCATGGGCTCTTTAGTTATAAATATGTTTTTCCGTATGCTCTACGGTTAATACTTGCCGAGATACAGCGGAGAGCTATTCTTAGTGGGACACCCTGTATAACAGCACTAAAAGTGAACACACCACTATCGTGCTACAAGTTAGGAAACTTTTATTTTAGGTCATCTGGATATCATTAGGCATTTTAGTTGTAAAGTCACGCATTCTCGACTTGTTTCATATGGGAAACAGACTATTCCAATCTAGGGAAAATTCAACTGCAATAGTAAAATATTATAAAAAGAAAGGAGATGTACTTCAAAAATGGCTATGGGTCGCGTTTCTGCAATTAACTTTGGTGAACGTTGTTTGGCATTGGAAGGGTGAGACAAAATCACAATTTAAAATTTAAATGCAAACGTTTTTATTATTTGTTTATTTTTTATTTAATTCCTTTTTTTAAGTGAAACCATAGTAAAAGGAAACTAGTAGATTTACTCCTTGTCAAATCTTTTGTTCTTTTTCTGCCACTTTATATAACCTTGATGTCGCGTCCCGTGACCGCTGACGTAGCTGTATAGCCGTGGTCTATAACTAGGCAAAGCATGTCGTGGCCCTCGCCATAGTTTCACAGAGATGTATTTAGGAAAATATGAGGTCACAATAAAATCAAATAAAAAAAATGATCACCGAGTAAAAATTTGCTTGAAAACAG